AGTATATTTTAAGACGTTCAACGTCACAGGCTATTAACGTCTTTACAAAGAATTTTGAAATTGGGAGTATATACGAAAAGTTAGATTTTAGAGGTGAAGAGTTCCTTCATTCTTAAAACCATTTCATTCATGAATCAAGTCATGAAAGAGAACAGACTCTAAGAGCAGATAAAAACATATGTTCATGTGTACACTGTGCGGATATAGTAAGATGAAAACCAAAGCGGGAGCCTAGAAAACGCTCCTATGCCAAATTAAACATTTTTCAGTAACAGATGCAGTCAAAATTGAAAGTCCTCTTTAACTAGTTATTTCGTGCGCCTTCAATCTTGTAGGATACTGTGCAACGCCTCTGACGCGAGATAGTTGCTTAAAGCGTTGCTGCGCGGCAGGCAAGCAGCGTGACACGCGCATAGGCGCCTACAAACCTAACGGGATACTTCACGCGTTGCGCAATGCGTGAAGTATCCAGTTAGGTTTGTAGGAGCCAGTGCGCGTTCTGCGCTGCTAACGCGCCGCTCCGCTCTGTGTTAGGCTCTAATATTTAAACTCGCGGAGTCAGCGTTTTTCAACTCATGATTTTGAAAGGTTTGGACTCTCTGCATTAAGCAGAACTGATAAACTGATGGAAAAGAAATATGTACTACTGGAAAAGATAATGTGTTTTATGTAAATATAGTAGTCGTTCCGTGTCAAATTTAATGATTTCCAAAGCATTCAAATTTATTCTTTAGGTTTTGGGCTTTTACTGTGCTGCAGCGTGGTGTAAGCGCAACTAAACGCTGAAAATTGGACGTATTTGACTCAAGAAGGTCGATGTACAAATAAGTTAAAAACAAAAAATTGCGTGCTTTTTAGTTTTGGTCAATGTCAATATAATTTTACACACGGACTAAAATATGACGCTTGAATTTGATTTTAGTGGACTTTACGTTTGTGGACTTAACTTAGTGGACGTTTAAGTAATGGACATAAGTATAGTGTGGGCTTTAGAATTTTGGACGTAAAAATCGTGGGCGAAAAGACTGTGGACGTAAAAAAAATGGACATAAAGTCCGTGTACCAGCAACACCTCTGCTAGTGGTCTATTGCATATTCACGGAAGTAGAACGGACTGATAAAGATGGAGGCAAAAAGGATTTTAAAGGAACGCAAGGGGAAATTTTTAAAAAACCAATTTCACCCTAACTTTGGCGTGATGCAATCGCTTTCGAGGCATGCTGCTGTCTATCCTCTTCTCTCTGAGAAAGAAATAGATAAAATCCTGTGATGTCGAGACCGGAGTGAGCTAGTCAGTAGCGTTTAGGATCATTTAACTTTGATTAAAGGCCAAAAAATAATCAAGGAAGCCTATTTTCTTTTAGTAGCCTACTTAGTCGGGAACACAGTTAATTTTCTACCTGATAACGCGTGCGATTTTTTTTCGCATCCTTTCTCCCCCGCCCATTTTTCTTGGGTCTTCTTGCTTGTATGAACCCGCGCTAGTTTTTGCAGGTATGCTAAATCAACGCCTATTTTGTAAGTTCATCCAGTGAATGAGAGGGGAACGGTTTTCTTCTCCTCACTTTCTTTCTCTTTCCTTGTCCTCTTATTTTCTTCCTCGCGAGAAAATATTCACTTCGTCAATGTATTTTATCGAAAACGTTGCTAGGTTCAATACAAGGGGGCTATTTTTTGTAAGTCGAACATGATAGATTCATTCCTTAGATCCACGAGCAGATGATGATACGTGCCCTTTTTTGGTGTTTCATCCGTGGCCTTTGGCAGAAAGGGTACATCCTGTTGTTGAATTACACAGAACTGCCAAAAATAATTTGGTAGCCTGCCACAAAACTCGACGTCAACATTTTTATTTCATTCGTGTTTTTGTTACCACGGCGATAGGGAGCACCAGAATGACCAATCAGAGGAATTCGAATTTCTCGCTCAATGAAGGCGACAAGTCCTCCAGATCATCAACGCCGCAGGCATTTAGGAAAGCCAAAATCAGTTTGGTTTTATAATTAAAAGATATATATTGATATTTAATCCCTGAAAAAACCTAATGCAGTAGACAGTCGAATCGTTGGCCTGGCGTGATTTGCGATGCATCGATTGATATGCCATTCAAACCTATGAGAATATATTAATTATCAGGGCGTTCGCAACGAACAGCATAATAATCGATTCTTTACCATAGCTTCAAAGGGGAAAATATCACGCATTGATCGAAATTAGGTATACTTTCGTAGGCACGGATCGCTCTGACGCAACGCTATTTTCGTTTCCTTTTTTCTTTAAGGAAAGCAAACTAGTAACAGGGTGGGACGGTGCCCAGGCCGGCGTCGACGGGCAGGGAAAAATACAGTGATGCACCCACTTAAAAATGCATCTGGGTCAGAGCCCGCCACGGTGCCACTGTTCTGCAGCCCGTGCATATAACATGAAGACGCCGTGCGAACTCCTTGTTGACAGTTTTCTTCTCGATGACTCTACTTATTTTGGAGCAATTGCGTTTTTTGACTGGAAATTTAGAGGATTCAAAATTAACGCGAATGGGATGTAGTACTCAAGCAGTGCACTGGTAAAAAAAAAACCTCTTGGACCAATGCCGCATTGCATTGACTTAAGAGTGCAGTTTCTTGTCGCCGGATTTAAGAGTCTTGAACTCTTGTTTCAAGCGGATTTTGCATTGATTCAAGCGGATTTTGCATTGAAACAAGAGTCCAGACTCTTAAATCCGGCGACAAGAAACTGCACTCTTGAACCAAGAGGTTTTTTTTTACCAGTGTGTAGTCAATTTTGATCAAATATTAAGTGAGTGCATGATAAACAAATGTGATGCAAGTATGATCAAATTTTGATACAAGTATGATCAAAATTTGATGCGAGTATGATCAAAATTTGATGCAAGCATGATAAAAATTTGATGCGAGTATGATCCATTTCGTCCCTACTTTTTTTTCACGGAGAAAAAAAGTTCGATTCGTATTGAACGCCACAGTTTTTGGTCAAAGAAATGAACTATTCATGGCAAATTTGTCGTTTCCCTCACGAATAACCGAAACTATATTTCAATGTTGCCAAATTCCCCATCACAAATCGCATTTTTAAAAGAAAAATCTTGGACTTCTCTAAATGAACACCTTAATAATCGATTTTTTACCACAGCTTCAAATGTGGAAATATCGATAGATGGCAAAGCACGCCACGCCACTGAACTTTTCCTGCCTCAATTATTTCCTTACCTCATCAGTCTGAATTTGTTAAAATCCTCGTTTCAACAAGTTTCAAACGGTCCGTTTAAAGAGGTCCTCGAGAAACACGGGCGGTGCCCACCGCATTTTATTTCCCTCCTCTCGGAAAATCCAATCGTCCGAATGAAAATTCTAAAGAAATCCTGCCGCAGAAATGATACCTCAGAATTCTATGCGGCATACCTGGAAAATGAACTGCACCACCGGGAGGTAAAACCGAAGGTGCAGAGTCTGATGAAAGGGGGGGGGGGTGCTCCTAACCTCACTCCGCCGCCCACGACTGGAAGGAAACTTAATTAAAGTGTATAATATAATAGTTTCACACAACGATCCATGACTGAAATAACAAGTGTTAATATTAACATGTTTATGTATTTATTATACGTGTTTACCGGGACTCGCCCGGCGAAAATCAAGCAGCGAGGGGGGGGGGCGCAGGTGCGCGCAACGCGACGTTAAGGCGAGGGTGAAAAAAAAGGAAAACCGCGAAAAAGGAAAAAATCCCCCCCTCCCGTCCCGCGGCGGGCGCCTCGCCCCCTTTTTAATTTTATTTTGCGCGCATGTTATTATAACTTGGCGGTGTCATGAATTTAAAATCGGGGGACGGATAAAGCACATCCCGCCCTCGCTGCCGATGAGGGGTTTAATGTATTCGCCAAAGTTAACTTTTTCAATTCCGCCGGTTGCAGGTACAATTTATGCATTTTTTTTTCTTTTTTTTTTTCGCCGCGGAATTTTTTATGCGCTCTGCATCGGGGCGCGCCCCCCGAAAGCGTCTCCGGAATTATTAAGGAACCGATCGAAGTTGGCGCGGACCTGAACGGTCGGAGAGCCGCAGAGGTCGGGCTCCGATTTCGAGTCAGGTTTGGATGTCCATGAAATTTTTATCTTTTATCGCGGTTAATTGTAGACCTCCGGGAAACTTTGCGACCCGTATTTAAGCAAGTGCAGCGTTACGTTGCCAAACCTTCGCTTCTCTGACAGTAAATGCAAAAATATAATGAAACTGACCTTCCTCCGCCTCTACCTCTTCTTCTACGTCTTCTTCTACTTCCTCTTCTTTTCTCCTTCTTCTTTTCTTCCTCTTCTTCTTCCTCTTCTTTTTCCTCTTTTTCTTCCTCTTCTTTCCATCCTCTTTTTCTTCCTCTTATATCTCCTCCTCTTCTTCTTCCTCTTCTTCCTCTTTTTCGTCCTCTTCTTTTCATCCTCTTCTTCTTCCTCTTATACCTCCTCTTCTTCTTCTTCCTCTTATACCTCCTCTTCTTCTTCTTCCTCTTCTTCTTCCTCTTCTGCTTCTTCCTCTTCTTCTTCGTCTTCTCCTTCCTCTTCTTATTCTTCTTCCTCTTCCTCCTCTTCTTCATCTCCTTCCTCTTCTTCTTCCTCTTCCTCTTCTTCATCTTCTTCTTCTTCTTCATCTTCTTCTTCTTCTTCTTC